GCCCGGATATTTTTTGGTTGCAGCCGTCATTGTTGTTTGGCGGGTCCGGGCTGGGGATTCGAACCCACCACCTTAAGGTGTAGGTGGCTGGCGCCTTAGCCGGTTGAGCTATAGGCGCCGAGCCGAAGAGGGAGTAATTTTCACAATACCTGAGAAGCAATACACAACCACAAATAGGAAAATGTGTTCAGAATGAAAGGGACGAGAATGTTCCTACTCTAGCTGGACACAACCATTTACAGAATCAGTCTCACTAGATATTTCTGTGCCTCACAAAGTAATTTGAATATCTGGAAAGAAAGATATACTTTTATCAGTGGTGCTGCTGTTGCAATGGCGGCGGCAGTTGCTGCAGCCACAGTTGTAGCTGAATCAATCCCACTGGGTGAAGTTCTAGTGTCCTGAGCAATAGCATCCTTTTCTGTGACTGCGTCTTCTAAAAGATGTACTTTTACTTCTTTAAAAACAGGCATGCTTTGAACTCTATAAATAAAATAAGCATGAAAAATACATTAAGTACACAACATTGAACCATATCAAGAAAAGTCCGCAGTGGTAATCTGCTAAAAGTAGTTTGAATTTTTTCAATTAAATCACTTATCAAAGCCATTTGGTTAACAAAATTTTTTAAGGTTCAGGTCACTAGGGACTGAAAAAATAAAAGGACTAGGGTGCCAGCCCCATATGCCGGAGGTGGGTTCAAACCCAGCCCCAACAACAAAAAAAAAAGATAATTTCTCAAAAGTGTGATATTAATTCAAAAAAAGATTTACACATAAGAAAAAGGCATAGCACAATTACAAAGATGCATAACCAAGAAGCACAGCTGGGCTCGGTGCCTCCAGCCTATAATCCTAGCACTCTGGGAGGCCGAGGTGATGGATCACCTGAGCTCAGTTTGGTACCAGCCTAAGCAAGAAGAACCTCCCCTCTACTAAAAGTAGAAAAACTAGCCAGGTGTTGTAGCAGGCACCTGTCGTCCCAGCTACTAGAGAGACTGATGTAAGAAGATCCCTTGAGCCTGTGTTGGAAGTAGCTGTAAGCTATGATGACGCCACAGCACTCTACCCAGGGCTATGTCCGTCTCAGAAGGGAAGAGGCACAAGGCCAGGCACAGTGGCTTGTGCCTGTAATCCTAGCACTCTGGGGGGAGGGGGGGCTGATGCAGGTGGATTGCCTGAGCTCACAGACTTGAAACCAGCCTGAGTAAGGGTGAGACCCTTTAAAGACTCTGTCTTTAAAAATAGCCGGGTGTTGTGGTGGGTGCCTACAG